AAAATTATTTTGAAACAAAAGGAATAGTAATTATTACTGTATTTAAAAATTAAAATTTATTATAAAATTAAATTTATGAAATTTAATTTAAATATACTATTAGTTACTTCCTCCAGTTTTTTAGTTGTTCTAATCCCTTAACTTTAATTAAATTAACTTTATTATTTTATATAGCAAATGAATCATAATTTTTTTTTTTTGAACATTTTTGTCATGGAGCCGGCTCGAACCGTTGCCCCTGAGAGAAGAGGATATGAACTTTACAAACGTGGTTAGAGTCACTTGACCCGAAATGCCAGATTCTAGCAAATGAATCATAATTGAAAAACTTTTTTGTGTAAATAAAAATACTTAATAAGAATTAATGTATACAAAAACAATTTTAATTATCATCTTTCTTTTTTTGAATAGATTACATCGGAGGTGGGAGATTCGATACCCAATCCATGCATCTTCAATGGCACAAAAAGTTAGTGGGGCATGAGGCCCAGGTGTATCATCTATTTAATATATATATAATTATTTAATTAAATTTTATCTAAAAATTAGATTAAAACAACTAAATTTAACTAAAGAGAATGTTAAATATATAAAACTTCAAAATTTGAAATTTAAAATAAAAAATATACGTACTAAACATAACCTTAAAGTTTTATTTTTTTAAGAGAAAAAAAAAATAAAATCATTAGCTAAGAATTACATTTTGACCTGAAGGGCAATAGACAAACCCTTTTAATATTTGAAATGGGGAATCTTTCTCCAATAACAGCAAAAGCTTCACTCCTTCAGTACGAATTTCTCAAAAAAGTAATTGCAACTTTCTACAAAACAATTCCGTTGGCTAAAATACCAAAACAATTGCAAGCCATGGGATTTGAAAATCATATTAAAAATATCTTAAATTATTCAAAACAAGTTTCTTGCAATTCCAATTTTGCCCCTCTCAAATTGCTATTTACCGCTCTCTAGTTATTCTAAGGGGAGTATTTGGATAAAAACTTATTTTTAGCCCTTTATTTTAATAAATTTATAAGTTTTAGTCCCTCAACTTATACGATAATACTTTTAATCCCTCATTTATAAAAATTGAAGAAAATCATCCTTATTTAATATGAGATTATAATGTTCATCAGATGACTATTAATATTTTATTAACAATTAGCTAACAAACTCTTAACGGTGATATACTGATATGAACAGAACTAACAAAATATTTACAGTCAGTTGATGAATGATATAAACTGACATTTAATTATGGTTATTTTTTTCAATTGGTAAATGTGAGGGGTTATTTTCTTCAATTCATAAAAATGAGAAATTAAAAGTATCATAATATAAAGTAATGGATTAAAACTTATAAATTTATTAAGATAAAAGATTAAAAATAAGTTTTTGTAGAGCATTTGTAGATATAAGTATGATATAAGTTATAGTCACATTCTTTTTCTAAAATGAGCCAAAAAATATT